TTCACAATTACAGATTGAGAATCTTTCAAAATCAAGAAGATTGATGCATATGACTAGGTCTCTTCATCTTATAATTTGTATGACAATTTGGCTCAGGGTTGTGGTGTGATAGAGGTGAATGAGAAATAATCTCACACAGAAGTTTTGAACAATGTCTGATTCACATTTGACTGAATAACTTCACCACCACACGGGGTATGCAGTCAGTGATAGGGTCAAAATGCTCATATGATCGAGGGCTTTTCAATGAATCTATCAGCGGGTTCTTATTCGAAAGATTGAGCGAGTTCGTGGTGAAGCGGTTGTCTGAAAGCTGTCACAGTGCCAGCATGACTCAGTTGGTAAGACTGATAATCAAGGCTGCACACATTAGAGGTGCGTGGGTTCGAATCTCACTGCTGGCACCTGTCACTTCTTACCCATGAAAGCTCTCATGTAATAGAAGCTGAGTCTAATTAGTAAGGCTTGATGCAGAGTAGAACTCTCTACTGTAAGTCAAGTTACTAGTTAAGTGAGATTCTGTGAACACTTATCAGAGTCAGTATAAGATGTTAATATCTCACTATTCTACTATGCATCTATCAAGATTCTAATGATATAGAGTTAAGTCTAATATAGTGATTATATATTACTTAAGCAAGTCTCTAACTAGAGCTGTTATTGAAGCCTAGCTTTCTCTTAAATATAGAGAATGATTTTAAAAATCATCTGATTAGCAGATTTAGATATATATCTAAATTCTAGACAGAGTACTCTGATAGACTAGAGTCTGTAAGCTTACTACTAAGTTCTAATACTGATAGAGAGAACTGTAGTCATCAAGTCTATAATTAGTCTCTAATATAAGATGAGATTATGACAGCTGATTGATAGATCTATGAGTATCTAACAGAGCTGAGATCAGCAACTGAAAGCTTGATATGTACATCATTAAGTGAGTGATGACAGTCATTAACTAATATCTCTGAAAATTAGTAACTGACCTGAGAGAACAGACATGATAATCAGTTAATTATAGAGAGTTAAATATAATTAGCTTAAGATGCATTCTGCAGGTAACTAGCATCTGTAGTCTTATAAAAGAGAAAATAGTTTGAAAGAGATATAAATATTCTCTAATAGTCAAGCTGCTTTAAAAAGACTTAGAAATAGTCAGATTTATAATGATTAAATGAATCTTGAACTGATTTTAAACTCTGTTTTGAAAATTCAAAAGAGAAGAATATTAAAACTAATAATTCATCTACACTGAGTTCCTGCTTATATGAATATTCATAATAATGAATTGACTGATTCAGCTGTAAAGAAGAATTCAGAATTAAGCAGATCTATTCAAAAAATAATATTCTGATCTTTTATAAAGAGAAAGATAAAAGAATCTTATTTAGATAAGTGAAATGAAAGCTGACAGAAATAAAAGAAGAGTATAGATTATTCAAGATTTAAAATAAAACTCAAGTGAAAATCTTGTTTAATTAAATATAAAAAGAAAATATTCTCATCTATAATTCAGCTGAAACTAGAATATAACTATTTCAAATCTTATATACAAAGATTTGATAATAGATTTAATTTAATAGAATACTCATTCTGTAATACAAATGAAAATTGTGACTATATTGTAATATACTGTGCATTATACAATAGTCTCAGAGTCAGATTGAAAGAGAAGTATAATTTAAATTAATTAAATATAAGATTTTTATTCTCAACTGAGACAGAAATTAAATACTTAATAGACTTTCTATCAGAAACTCAAGCAGCTATAAGAAAATGACTAATTTCAGAAATATCTGAATATGAAGAGAAGGAAATTAATCAGATATAGTCTGTTAAAACAGCTATACACTATCTTTTAATAATTTGTTTTATTATAGTCTCTCTTTACTTTACTTTTTTCTTTTTATTCTTTTCTATCTATTTATTTAATGTATCTATCTTTAAGACTATGTTCTCTTTTCTTTTGTCATGATATTATCAAATGATTTCAAGGTATCAGAAGGTGTTAAAATACTGCAATTTGTAAACAGTTTTTGTATTCTGAGCTGGAATTTTCTGATTTTGCATATCTGAAATTGGTAAATGTATAATAGTTGACTTTATAGATATAGGAAAAACTCTGAGAACTAAAAGTTCTCAGATAGATGTTATAGTCTCTGACTGTATACATCTATAATTGAAGAATAATAATAATAATAATAATGCTGTCACAGTATTATTTAGATCTTATTATTAATTACTTAGAAGAGATCTTATTGATCTTTTTCTCAGAGTATTAATTATTTAAATACATCTGAAAAGTCAAGTTGACAAGCTCAGTGTGATTAATTGATGAACTCTGATACTGTGATATTATTATTCATATCTTATGAGTCAGCTTTATAAGATAAAGCTACATCTTTAATTGATTCAAATTATCAGTTAATTTCTCTTAATATTCTTTAAATCTTATATTAAAATCAGAAGAATTCTTATTATCTTATTAATATAATAAGTTAAATCACTGCACTGTTATAAAGCTGCAGTTACAGTGATCTTTGATCTCACTCAGTAGAAAGTCTTTGAATTCTTTCTAAGTTATAACAGTATTGATACACTTAAGCTCTCTCTTCTTAATAACTCAAGTAGTTGCAGAGATGTCTTCAAGAAGACTGATGATGTATATTACTTATATCTTATGAGTATCAAAATAACTCAGATTAAGACAGAATTTTCATTCAAGAGTGTGAATAAAGTTGTGAAATTCAGATAATATATTTCTCTTATAATTCAGAGAATTTTCATTTTTAATCTCTCTATTTTTATAATAGATGTAGAAGTATAGAGGCTGCAGTAATAACAGAGTAATTAAAGAGATTATATTAAAATATACAGTGAGTTCAGAAATCTCAGATTTCTGCTAAGATAGAGATATACACACTTTAGAGAATGATGTGAAGTTTCTCTCAGAGAATGAGATTGAGTCAGTTCTAGTATAAGTGTATAAGATTATATCAGTTCATTAATAGAGCTTGACTGATTCAAACTTGTAATCAGATTAAGTGATTTAAATTGTAACATGATAGAACTGAAGCAGTAACTAATTAGTGATGATATTTAGATAGTTATCTGAGAAGCTGTATAAGTGAGCTTGACTATCTTGCTTAAATAGTATGCTTGTGAGCTACAGAATTATTGTGAGAATATCATAGATATAGTACTTAGTATGCTAAGAAGATTGTATGAGAAATACAGTAACTCTTATATATATTATCAGTAGAAGAAAACAAACCACTGACTTCTTTGATAAGAAGTCAGCATCTAGTTATTTTATATAAACAATGAGTGAATACCTCTCTTCTATTCTATAAGTGAGAATAGTCAGAGTGATACCTCAGTGATGTCTTATTATTATGAAAGAAGTAATCTGCTGATCTTATATAAAAGTGAGATTCTTATATTCATCAATCAGATCTTTCTATATTGCATTCAAATGATATTATAGAGTGGTTAGAAACCAGTTTAAACAGTTTGTGAAATGAATGAAATCATCTGTAGAGAAGTGATGAGTCATGTGAAACCGCAACAGAGTCTTGACGCGGCCGGAGGCGTGACATTCTCATTAAAAAATCTACAAAAGCTTCAGAAAAGTATCACAAAAGCTAAGAAGATATTGACAAATATTGAATAAGAGATTAATAAAATTTTATCACAGCTATCATGAAATCTTAATAAGATTTTCAAAGATTCTCTTATTCAAGCAGATTCTCATTATGAAATGAAAATTGAATGTCACTTGCAGACAGTTAAACATCTTCAAATGAAAAATACATGTTATCAAGTATGCAGTGCAGCAGTATAGAAGATATAATGATAATTAAAAATATCAATCAGCAGATTGAAGCACAGCAGATGAAGAAGATTCAAAATAATTGAACATGTATCAATTATTAACATCATACAGAAGTGACACATCAAACTGCAGAGACTCAAGAAATCTCTGATACAGATTAAGAGATTATAAATATTGAATTAATAGATATAAGAGATGCAGAGAATTATTTTTTTACATACATAAAAAGAGGGATTTTAATATACTAAGACATTGAAGCTACAAGTATATTCATTCTTGATGAAAAGTAATGTTGTGGTGATAATGATGTTGTGATGAGACGCACCCACTCACAGATGTGGTGGATTTTTAGCGTAGGCACGTGTAGGTCAAAAAGATTATAAAATTACTGACACTTATTTCTATTGTTAGTGACTGCTTATGTGCTCTAATCTCTGAGTCTCTCAGATCTCTCAGATTTACTGCTATATTGTGATAAATGCTGTACAGTCTATAGTAGAGAGTAGCAGTGCTATCTCTCTTTATTCTACTGTCTAACTGCTCTGAGAGATCAAAAAAGCCCGTTCTACTCTGTCAATGTCAATAACAGAGGCTGGAGAATAAAACGATCTTATGAACTGAGCTTAAGAGATGTTAACAGATAATTTTGAACCATCTAGCAGAAAAGAATTATTTGAGAGACATAGAGATAGTAGATTTCACTCACTGAGAGAAGAAATGCAGAGAGAGAGACAGAATATTGATATTTTTAATCACCTACTGTGCATATAAAAATATCTGTTTTTTAATATATATTAATTAATGGGAAATCAATTACTGAGGTATAAAATAGTTGAATGTCTCTATCAGAGAGTAGGCTGTCTGTATAAAAAAATCCCCCAAAAAAGAATGATGAACTGCGGCGTCCGTTCGAGGCGGCGGCATTCTTTCGATGCTATTTTACAAATATTTCCCTCAATCTACTCTATATGGGGCGGGCTCTAATCACTGCTACAATCAGTGCAGTAAATGAAGCATACAGACTGCAGATACACAGGCAGCTAGTTAAATAGCTAGCTAGAATGCTGTATTTAAATAGATATCTCACAGATATATGACATATATGCAAGAAAGAGCTTGTTAAACAGAGTTACGGTTTTATTCAATAATTGTAAAATCCATCTGACGCTCAATCATTCTCTGGCTTCTCAAAATCGGCCGGACGAAGCAAATCACCATTTAGCATTGTTCCAACATGCGTCTTTTCTATCTCTTCACAATTCCTCCGAATCTTCGTCATAAAAACCTTCAGAAATTTGACTGGGCTATCAGTGAAAGTTGACTTGCTATCACATTTCAAGATAAACCCGTCGGCAGCCACCGCTTGACCGTTCCTTTTCTCCTCCCAGGCAAGCCCGAGAAGCTCACACACCTCCACATATTCTTTGAACGAGCTGAAGTACAACTGTCCCGAAAACAAATTTTGATATAGGACCAGGTGGCGAGGCAAGTTCGGCGTCACTGGCCGATTAGGAATGGTATATAAATCCAGCCCGTCTAACCTGCGAAAGCACATGTTCACGAGCGGTGCGTACAGGTGAAGTGTTGTAACCTTAGATTGTTTTACTACTGGTAAGAGCTCCTGCGCTTCGTATGGGCTTATGATAATCATGTGTTCGACTGTATTCGTTGGGCTGCCGGTGATGTTTACGAGGATCCACTGTACTGGCCGCTGGTACGCATCAGAAATGTATTCCCCACCGGATATTTGAACTGTGCTAGCAAAATCGGCGCTCGCGAGAAGTCCAGTAGGGAATTGAGAAACGTCTATATGTTTGGCGGCACTGGTGTCGCGCAATATCTCAAAAGCTGGGGTATAAGCTTTTGACTTTTCAATAAACCTACCAGTAGACACGAATTCTTCTATGTCACAGTGGATGTGATGCTCTGCTGCTGTGGCTGGAGGTGGTCTCTGGATCTGCCGCTCTTGCTCATTTTCGGGGGAAAGCTCGCGTTCCTGCTCCTCCTGGAGTGTGGCCGAATTGAGGTCTACGCTGTCAAATTCACGACAGCGCTCCAGGATGAGGTCGAGGTTTCTGCCGTCGCTCACTGGCCTAGCAGAGGTATCTGGGGTTTTCGGAGTGGGTCGATACCTGGCATCAAGGGTTTGGGATTCCTCTTCAAGAAACCGTACAGCTTGGGCTTTTGACACCTTTAACTTTCCCTTCGTGCGGGCTTCAGCCCAAAGCGAACGGTGACGTTCATATCTTTGACCTTGTATGGCCCAAAGCGGGATACTCCGTCGCATATCAATGCAAGGTTTCTAATACGGCCCAACTGAGGACATCTGACACGTCGATTGGACCTTTTGCCGGTTTAATATGTGCCAGCATTTTGGTCTTGATCTCTTCTGGGATACAGAATACGACGGACTGCCCCTCTCCAAGTCTTCTCATTCTCATACAGGCTTCGCAAATGTTAGTAGCAATAATTACAAAATAAGATCAGTAGACTTACCCTGGACGAGTCGGTCTTTTGTCAAATTTGCCCCTAAAGTGACGGCAGCTCGATAGTAGTTCGGCAGTTTCAGATCCGTCCCTCTCGTATGAGCCTCATCAAGAAAGAGGAGACATAAATCAAGTCGCTTGGCATATGAAGACGTCTGTAACGGCTCAATGTGTCCTCTCCGATCCAGAACAGAAATCTCGTCACAATCGTCAAAGAACACCACAGCCTGCTTTTTCTCCTTATCCGGCACAATCCTTAACCACTCCCTTGCAACCTCTAAATTACCAAGTTCCAGGATTTGTGCCCCAACATCCAGAATAACTTGCACTTTCGGCTCCATATTCACCACCATAGCTAGTAGGAGTTCCGCATCTGTACTAGAGGCCTCAGCTCGTGGTTGCATAAGAGCCACGGAATTTTCGGGTCGCAGGAGATACTCCAGGACCAAGGCATTGGTATGCTTTTGTTCTGGAAGATCCAGGTGCTCTACGCTAAGCGGGAGCGTCTTCCTCGAATCATTTGTACCACTAAATCCGGTTGTTGGGTGGGTTTTAATCTTTCCAATATCCCAGCCTGATGCGGACAGTTTTTGCGGAAATTCCTTCAACTCCTTTGGGAAGACGATGTGGCCTAAGAAGTAGTCTATGACACTCTTGGCATACCGAATAAATGGAAATATTTGTTCAACGCATTGGAGGCGGTTTTTGAGGTTAATGCTCATGAGTTGACGGAAATTTAGCGGCAGGCCTGGTGTATCCCTCATCCACACCTGATATTGAATGTCCGCTTGGTCGGATTTCAAAAGATGGGCAAATGATACAAACAAATCGGCATCCTCAAGTCCGCCGTAATAGTAACTTAGGGATGTTAGAATAATCACGACGTCAGGGTGGCTGAATTCAGATCGCGGTGTGGGACTGTCCTTTGCTCGATACGGTACCGCAAGCTTTGTTCGAGGCTGTCTGGTCGCATCAAGCCCGTAATTAACCCTCCAGCGTTTCTGGCCGAATGCGAAAGGCAATACTCCTCCAGCTATAAGGCCTCGTAACAGGAGGAGTGTATTTCTTGTTGTATCTGTCCAAAATCCACCTGAGCCCTGATTTTCAACTTTACCAATTTCGTCTTGAGTGAGCTCAGGCTTGGTGATGTATTTGAAGACAGCTTGTCTAACTTCCTCTGGTTGTCTGGCAATAGGGAAGCCGCTGAGTCCGGTTTTGCATATTTGCCGCGTAACAAGATCAAACATATGCCGTTGGGCATCATGTCTGAGGATCCGGGTTCTGGGAAAACCACCCGGCCAGCGCTCGTGAAGTTCCATTGAACGAGGAAAATCTTTCGCAACACTAGTAGAGAACTCCCTAACAATGCCCAGTACGTTATGAATATGTATCCAACGATCGGGACTGTGTTCAACAGGTCGTTGCATGCCCATAGTGTAAATCAACTCGAATTTTACACTAAAGTTTTCGTCACTCTCGTCCACGATATCGCGAGATGACGCGTCAAAGAATCGCTGCGTTTTGATCACGGCACGACCCACTGATTTCCTGCCTGAAATAAGGCACTCAAGGCCCATTAGCTCGAATGACAAAATATGTTCTGGCTGAACAAGTAAGATACCGCCTTTCGACATGCATTCACGATAGAGATCATCAATCGTCTCTGCCTCTTGTTCTCTAATCTGTAGTGCACGAGAAAATGGCATGTGATAAACACGCCTATCCAGCATTCCGCCCAACTTGGAAACGAGCATCTGGAACATTTGTTTAGATTGTGGCTTGCCCACAATGACTCGAACTAACCGGGAACCATTTGCAAGAGCGGCAGCCACGATAGGAACAATTACAGACGACTTCCCCTCGCCCATGTTCAGCTGCATAACAGCGTTCTTATTGGGAGTAGGATCTCTCATCTGCGCGGCTATCTGTTCTTGCACCTCTCGAATCATTATGCCGCTCTCCACTTCCAAAAGTAAGGACTCAGGATACTGAAATGGATCCCAATTGGTGTGGCCAGAATTTAACAGCTCTTTGATAAGATCGCCGTGGTTGTCGGATAGGCTCACAAGTCGCTCCGCTCGTTGAAGTTCAGTAAGGGTGACCCCGTAGTAAACGATGGACCGCTTCCAGTCGTTTCCGAGCTTCTGCCACCGATTGCGGGCGAGACGCTGAAGGAAGAAAGCTGGAGATAACCGTGGTCGCTGCTCGATGCTAACGGTTGTTTTGGCGCATTTCTGTGAAGACAGTGAATGCCTTATCATGTATTCAGGCGCCGCTGCAGAAATGAGTGCACTGTAGGTCTTATCGACATGTTCCTGGCAGTGGCGACGGTGTTGGAAAAGAATTTCCTTGAGATTATTACCCCCTGTCTGCAAGCAATGATTACCCTTCCCGAAATCCTGTTGTAACGAACGTAAGCTCTCTCGCAGGTCTTCGACAAAATCCCTTTCGTATTTAAAATTGGTTCGAGAATCAAGTTGCGTTATCAGTGTACCAAGTCGAGACGTTGTCTGCTTCATATTAGCAGAGGGTGAGAGTAACTCGGTCATATCTTCCAGATGATGCCGAGCCAGGATAGGGGCTGGACAAGAGAATATATCGTCATCACTAATAAAACCGCATTTCCTCGAGATGTTCTGTGTAGGAATGACAAATTGAACCAAAGCGGTATCTACTGGGGTAACCAGTTGATGCAAGGTTATAGTCTCAATTTCGTAAATATATTCCTTGAAGCGGTGATTGTCGAACCAGATCTTGAACTTAGGCTTCGCCTTTTCAATGAAATTCGGTATATTTAGATATCGATGAAATGCTGGGTCAGCATCATCAGCCGGGGCACTAGGAGCTTCACACGGCCACTGAGACACTAGTGCTTGATAAAATCTGTTACGAATACAGTTTTGGTTATTGTGAAACGCTGTTCTTTTGCGTTCCACGAACGCCCTTTTGGATTCATTGACACGACGAACCAGATTCGCTTCAGGACAACGATGGATTGGAAAAAATGATGATCGGAAAGCGTCGCTCAAACAGCCGTTAATCACCTCAACACCTTTTTGTAGATTGAAACTATGGACACATGGAGCGGAAATGCGACCCATCTCAGCCACCGTAAAGAACAATGCTAATACCTGGATAATTCTCATATCCGCATCTTTAGCGAAAGCAAGGGTGGAGAGCCAGATCATCACGCGGAATTTGTCAGCTGCGGTGAATACGTGGCTGAACGTTTGGTGAATAGCGCACCAATGTTGAGAGATAAATTCGGCCGACTGTAGAAGGAATTCACTGTCGTACACCAGCTTGGAATATTGAAGCGAATGGTTCGGTCCAAAGATTTCGGCAACAATCGAAAGAAATTTGCAAAGATGGGTTCCCAATCCAGTTGCACCAGCATAATGAAGACTAGTGCGTCCATGATATACGATGTTTGAGATAACAAACGCTCTGCAACCCTTCTCTGAATTCTGGTCCTGGTCTCTAGGTTTGTATTTGACATCGTGCGCGACGGTGTGGTCTTCGGCACCAAAGGAAGGACCGCGAAAACTAGACGACCGGATGGAGTCGCGTTCCAACAGATGCGAATCAACACTGTCCGGAATAAATCGCTGCAGCTTAAAGTCCGGCAGGAATATCCTCATCCTATCTGCTTGCTCGAATATAGATGTAACAGACTTATGGAATTCACCATGCTGGGCCATAAAGCCGAGCGTTGGTGACCATTCTACCGACTGCATCACACGTTCGTTTGCCGGATAGTACCTTCTTCCTGGGGTCAACTGTGCAATCTGCTCCAGGATTTTGACATTCTCCTCGGTTAGCTGATCAAAAGATCTGACAGCTGCGGAGCGTAGGATACAAAGGGCCTTTTCTGTCCCGGTGCTATGTATCAAGGGGTCCGGCAAGCAAAAGGAGGTGAGAGCATGGAGATAACAGAGAAACAACTTGCTCTGCAAACTCCCGTTGTCAATTAGCCCACAAATTTGACTATTTATGGAGTATAAATGAGCCTTTGCGGCAAAGTCTTTCTCAATGGTGACGTTAACATGCCGTTTATTTTTCACGCAACTTACAACCCCCGTGGGTAGAATAAAATGCCGACTACCGTCCTCGTGTTGCAATACCAGTTTACTGTTAAGGCCAACTAGTGTCCCAAGTGACTGATCTCGATCGACAGCCATTCCGCGAAACTGTCTGGACTTCAGAGATGAATCCCCCGACTTGAGGTAAAATCCCAACTGTAGCCTGGGAAGCTCAACCTCTATCGAAGATAAAGTATAGTCGAAGATGATATGTATACGGGAAGAATCCTCAAGAGGGACAAGCATACCGGAAATCTCGGTTGTAGTATCGCTACAAATGCTAATCAGAGACTTTCCATTTCTTGTCAAACGCCACCGAGAACCGAACCGCAGTAGTCTCCAGTTATTTAGGGATGAAGCCCAAGGATCTTCAATGGAACGAAATTCTAAACAACAACCAGTCATGTCGTACCACTGAACGAACTTTTCGATAAAATCCTCAGGAAACATTCCTCGCAAAATCCTGGAGGGAATAAGCTCAAATTTCCGGTCATCTTTAACAGCTTGGACCAAGACGTCATATTTTTGTGAGCTTGGGGTATCAGGAATATGGTCCTTGAGGCCAAAATGCAATATATAGTCAGCAAACTGCTTCTTTCCAGAAAACTGCATTCCCTGCACAGCAGTGGGCATGACTTCCAAAGCAGAATTCCCAAAAAGCGTACGGTATGTGGGATGTCGTTCGTACTCCGCAGGTAGACGGGATAGTGGATAGCCATTTACGAGCAGCTCGCCAGTCAAAAGATTGAAATGGATTGGGAGTGAATTGGCATTCCCTTCGGGTGCTGTCTTGCTGACAAGACAATAGTCAAGCTCTTCCGAAACTACTCGCCAGGCCTCTCCTGGCCGATAAGCAGACCAGGATCTCGTTATGGCGTCGTTTAAGGCCCATCCATCTTCTAGAATTTGCCGTGTGAGAATGGGATAGCATCGATATGAAAGCCATTGTCGGCGCTTGTATAGTAATGGAATTGCGGGATCGGATGCCTGTCTAAGGCAATTGCTACCTTGTTGAATGACGATAGAGCACTGCAAGAAGTCCGAAAGAGCTTTTGGTTCGGAAAATATATTATTGAGATATTCCTGGTCAACACTGTATGAATCAGTACAAATAAGAGCAATCTCCACGGCTTTTGAGGTCAAGTCCTCCCTGTGGCTGTCGTCGGTTATCCGATCTGCGCTGTCTTTGAGAGATCTCAGCCAGTCGACAGCAGTAACTCGGGTAGAAGCCAAATAAACCATGCACTGTTCTCTGACTTGCTGCGCAGAAGTTAATGTTAGTAAACGCCTAGCCAATGACACAAACGTGCTCAGTGCTTGAGACGCCTCCCAGTTCTCTCTAACTCTCTGTAAGGCATCAAAAAGACTTGCTAGAAGAGCGTTGGCGAAAATGTCGTCATCAACGATCTCATGACCCACTCTAAGGGCATTGCTATGGTTGGAAGGCCCGGCCTGGTAGATCGATTGAAGAATCACGAGACCTGTCTCTATTTTTTTGAAATCAATAGAGGGTGCTGATAGTTGCAACAGAATATTTTGCCACTGAATTCGACAGCCGAGTGGTATTGAGCACAGTGCCTTGTATTCATCCAACGATATGTGAAAAGGACAGTCGGACTGGTTGGCTATGACAGTGTTAGGCGGTAGCCCGTTGGGCATTGTAAATGGACGGTAAAGAAATTTTTGAAGAGATAGCGATCGCGCAGGAAGTATGTAGGTAAGCGTTTCGGAAACCTTCTCTCCAACACTGAGCTTTGCGACAAAAAGACCCGATATATTGTCAAAATACCTATAGTCCATGCCGTTTTCAAGACAAACTTCCCTCTCTGTGGCAATAGAGATTCTCTTGCTACGGCGATGTGTAACTACGTGGGGTTTGGTCTCAGACAAAAGACCAACACGTTGTGTCGCACTGAACGAGGTAAAGAAAGAAGAAAGTCCCGCATATCCGCGTAGAGGGTGGTGTGATCGCGGCTCAGATTTCAAAGAATATTCGGTTTTTAAAACATCTAACACTAGGAAGATAGTAATGTCGCGCCAGTGGCCAAAAAATGTTGGTACCTTGAGCTCAAAAACTGTGGATTGAGCTTGCAAGACGTCTCTGGGCAATGGCCACTCATGGATACTAATTTTTAAGGAGTCAGCCCTTTTTTGGTAGCTACACCTGATACAGCCGGGGCTGTGCTGTTGTTGACGGAAATCATTGTGGTAATCAACAATCACTTCATGGTAATCGCATTCGTTTTCATTGTAGAGTTGCATCAGACCGTTGTACTCTTCTTTTTTTCGTTGGAGTTCTGCGCGTTTAATCTGTCTTTCCTGTGTTGCCCATCTCTCAATTTCCTCAAGAGTCGTTTGGAGCTCAGGGCATTGATTGAAGTACCTGATAGCAAAAGAACGTTCGAGGCCAAAATCGCTAAATATACTTGGAGCAGAGAATCTGGCTCGGGTTTGACGAGAACAGATATAGTTCTCTACGAGGAGCAGTCTTTCCATTTCATCTTTGAAGGGCAAGACTAAAGATTGAAGGATACCTTGGGGAATTCCCGGGTCATAATCCAAAAGAAGATTGCATATATGCACAGCAGATTCGTCGCAAGCAACCCAAAGTTCAAGAATAATGAGTAGCATCGTTGAAGAGGCTTCCGGGTTTTTCGAATAAACAGGAGAGGCAATAGCATGGTATTTTTGAATCAAGTCACCTAGCCTGCCACAGGTGCTAGTGTTCGATTTGTGGCGTTGTAGCCACTCAGGTAAATTAGAGACCACCCAGTCCTCTATAACAGTCAAGTTAAACGACGAATATTCCTCGGGCAGGGTGTTCGGACAATTAGGAAGCTCGTCGGCACTATATTTTGTGAGGATGGAAGTTGGATGAAATGTGCCAAAGTTCTTGGTGTTTTCTCGTTCGGACAGCAAGTTGATATATTCATCCAATGCCGGGAGAGAATGAAATGTATCTTGGTTGAAATCCAGACATCCAAGGCGGGATAAGTCGTAGTGGGGACCACTAGTTTTAACGAGGCTCGACCATCTATTTTGGATCCGGTTTCTGGCTTCCTGCATCGCTTTTGTAACGAAATGATGTATGGATTCCTGAATGGGCGAGTCGATTTTAAGTAATCGACGAGAGATTTTGGCGACCTGTATATATAGAAGATCGCTGTGTAGTGAATGTCTGAGCGATGATTTCAGAACACAACTCATGAGAAACATCATAAACTCTTTGTAGAGATTCACTAGCGGTCCCGAGACAACCCTTGTTTCTCTAGAAAAGACAAGTTGCATTGCAACACGGACGAACAGCCATAGTGGAGATCTGCGCCACGGTAGTAGAGCATCGCGCCATAATACTTCTTCCCGAGTATTTTTCCAAAGACGAGACACGTCCACAGGCTGGCCAACAGACCTCAGAATTCCCGTAAAAAGTTCAGTTACTATCTTTGGGTGCACAGTGTCACGAATCTCATCATGCATTTGTCTGGCCTTCTTCACCTTCGGCATTGTTTCCGGAGCAGGCTGGAAGCTCATCTTAGCAAGGGTACGAGAGACCGTAGCTTGAAATCCGGGCGCCTGAAATTTATCAATGCTCAAAGAGAACACCGGTCCTGGGAAAGACCGTCTAAGCCTTCCTTTTGTTGTGATGACGGATTCGTTGAGCGGAGATAGTTCAAATAACTCGAAGGTAACAGAGTTGTCAACCTTGCTGATGAAGATGCCTGCATTCTGAGCCCGGATGTGAAGCGGAACCATCCCACCTTTGATTGATTAGAAAAAATAGTAAAGTAAAGACAAGAAATGTAGGAAATAAGCTTACCGTTGCTACAAATATTTTTGAGGGCATTCTGAAGCCTCTCTTCGCTGACGGAACCATCCGAACTCGAACCCTCACGCACAATCTTCAGGTTTGAGATCATAGCAATGACCGAGTCAACGATTCCATGCTGGTCGTGTGCGACACGGTCCCTGAAATCGTTAAGAGCCTGGAATACAGTGCCTAGCAGTACGTTTTCGTGATTCGAATTGTAGTCATCTTCCTGGGGGAGTTTGGGCGGAAGGAAGATATGATGAATCAAGTACATAATTTCGTCATAGGACACTTCCTTCATTTCGGGGGCCATGGTGACTAGGGGATTAAATGCGATAACCAACGTAAAAAGAGGATGTATTTTGAGCAAGCATCGATTAGAATTAGGTTTCGGAGAGAGAAGATGAGATACTGAGCATCAGTATCAACATGCAACCCGGGAGGGCAACTCAAATAGAGAGGCGGCGAGACTGATTAATGAATATCTCAATATGGGACAAACTGAAGAAGAGACGCGCGCAGTCAGAGCACTGGGTTTGATGTAGAAGTATGAGAGTTGGTTCGTTAAGGTTGTTATTGTTTGTGTGTGCCTTGGGGAGGACTGTGTATATATAGCCCTAACACTGAATAACACGGGCCGTGAAACATTGTTGGGTGAAAGCAACTCTTCTGGCAAGTTCCCAAAATTCCTTCATTGCATCCCTTAGGTGGGACCTACCCAAGGCTGCCTCACAATGGTGGGTGTTGGAGGCCTCAAAACCTGCATGTGTTGCCAAATTATTGGCCGGAGAGGCATCCTCCTCTATCTATCTGCACAGTCAAGGCTCAGCATTTGATTGATGCTGGTAAATTTTTGAGCACACCCTTGAGGCCTCCAGCATGGGTCTGTTGAGATATGCCGCTATGGCGCTAACAGTGCCACATGTCAACATAAAATATCGTCTTGAGCTCCCTGTGTTGCCTGCCTTGCAGAGCTATTTCAAGATGATAACGCTATTATCAAGAAGCATCCTTCAGCCAACTCGATCGCTTAAGTAACTTGGGGATGCGAAGAAACTATGAGTTACGTCTAATTTTCTTGTGAAGCCGTTGATAGCCTTGGCCAACTCTATCAAAAGTGCGATTTCAAACTTGTTTCCACTTTGCAGGTGAGAGGGATGCAGCGTTCGCTCGCGAATGAATAACCATCAGACTTATTCGAATGTCAATCATTTTGGGCGTCAAACTGCAGTTGATGACCCTGAATGAGTCGATCCCTAAGATGGGGGTCATTCAGCTAAGAAAAGGGATCATATTTCGGCATCAGCTTAAACACAACACGAGCTTGAACAATTTGATGTTAGACAGTCCGGAAAGAAAGCCGGAATGTAATAAGAGAACTACTTCGCAACATGGCCGTTTGCAAACAATCCCTTTCGCTTCGTGTACACATCTGGCGTCACAGTAGAGCGCGATCAGAGCAAGTCCCTGTGGTTTTTAGCTGAGTACCGACTCATGCGTGTGGGTTCAGACGTTATATCCTCTATCTTTGCCAACTCGGCTAACGAGCAAGCACAGGGCCGCATCGAAAATACAATATTGGATTCTGCCAAGAAGCATGAACCCCATGTAATGTACACGTACATGTACAAGCTACAGTCGCTATGCCTGGAGGAGTGGAAGGCCCTGATCGCTCCAGGAATGCTGCAGCAACAAAACTGGTTCATGTGTCAGAGCTCGCTGCTGCGATGATTGATCAATGCCTGAAGGGTATCACCAAAGACCCCTTATTTGGCGGAGATTGGCTCTCGCGCACTCTGTAAGGAGGATTATTTAGAATGAAAGTAGCGCGCTCTCCTGTTCCAGCGCCTAGTTGTTTGCTATCGAGATGATGTGATGTTAGCTAGCTATCTGGGCACTGCTACCGCTGCTTGCTCATCAGTGGTGAGGGGGTGAAAGCAGTCGTATGGGTACGGAGTTGATCTAGGGGTAAAGGCAGCCCGAACGGGGGAGGGCAGAGTTGAAACTTCTCCCTTTCGTCACCATGATATCGTGAAATGCCATAAAATGCCCGAGTGTCCTTTAATGTCCTAAATGCATTATTAGTTACATAGTTAGCACTTTCTCACTCTATGTCTATACAGAACACAGCTCTGAAGCTGCCCAATTTCCCTAGAAGTTGTCAAGCTCCCGCTCATAGCTCAACTGAACTCAATGGCCTTCCAAACCAATCGGCCGTCACGACTTAGCGCCAGAATCTGATACCTCCAGCAACCGCAGAATAATGGAGGTCTCTATAAATGTGTTGAACTGTTGTGCCCTAGAAGCGATGTGCACTCATCAGATACAGTCAGATTTAAAAGTCACCGCGTTAAATCGAAGATTTGGCTGAATTGAATGGAAATGGGAAAAGAGTTGGAAATCTTTGGCTGGTATTGCTTCCATTTGTGTGTGAAATGCCAGCGATTTCATGATATCGTATCCTTCGACTTGACGTTCCAATCCAGGCCAGAAATTTGATCAGTGCGTTAAGGACAGCGACGAGATAATTAATGGTTTCAGACAATTGTAGTATCGCAGTCGAGTCGCCTATGGAGTAACGTGACTCACCACCCAACGAACTGTTGGGGGTCCCGGGTTGGTCGGCCCTTCTACCAGCAGTGCGCTGGTGGTGACTGAGCTCTTTTGCCCCAGTAGCCTACAGGTTACGAGACCGTTTAGCATGAGCCCCGCTGTGGTCAACATGCATGGGTTCAATCCCAGAATGGACTTAAATCCCAAACAAATATCCCGGACATTAAACAGTGCCAAGAGACATTCTAGAAGTGTGCCCTAGGAGTGAGCTCTTGAAAGAATGAGCTCTAGGAGTGAGTTCACTGAGAGAAGTCACTAAGAGAAGTCACTGAGAGGAGCCACTGAGAGGAGTAGTACTCTGTGATAGCTGGTCTGAGAGGGGGTGTTAGGGGTCCCGGGTTGATCGGCCCTTCTACCAGCAGTGCGCTGGTGGTGACTGAGCTCTTTTGCCTCAGTAGCCTACACGAACTCATTCACTCAATGAACTGCTATTTTTCCATGAATTCTTGCAACTCTTCAACTTCAACCACTCACTATGCCACTTAACAAAGTGATTATAGAGTAAGCAATCACTTAATTGAATTGACAATTGATTTCTAAATATGCTGAGATTGCAAAGAAATTCAGAATCAATCATATTATTTTAATATAACAGTTCAAAGATTAACAGATTTTCAGAACAGAGATAACATTAATTTACTATTAAAATCTCATAAATATTGAAGAATAATATCTTCTATTTCATATTAATCAGTTACTCAATCACAGTTTCTCTGTGATATCTCAAATACTGTACAATTTTGTATTTGAAATCATTAAAATATAAATAGAAATTAACTGAGTGTCTTATTTTTATGATAAATATAAAATAAAAATTAAGAGTATCTATTTTTAGAAAAGAGCAGAAAAGAAAATGTAAAGAAAGACAATAATAAAATAAATATATTTAAAAATAGTGTATAGCTGTTTTAATACATTATATCTAATCAATTTTCATCTCTTCATATTCAGACAGTTCTGAATTCAGTTATTTTCTTATAGCTGTTTAAGTTTCTGATAGAAAATCTATTCAGTATTTAATTTCTATCTCAGTTAAAAATAAGAATCTTATTGTAAGAGGCCTACGCTAAATAGATTGATATAATAATATAGATCTTATATAACAAAGTGAAAAACATTAGAGAAGAAAAAAAGAGAAAGTGCAGAAATCAGTGATCAGAGTGAATATTTATACATATATATAATAAAGCTTCAGAGCAGAAAAATAGAAATTTCACATATATAGTAGAGTCTCAGAGCAGAAGAATAGGAATTTCATGAGTTTTTCAGTTAAGAATCAGTAATCAAGAATCAGAGCTCTCAGCAGAATCTATAAAGTGTAATGAAATAGTCTATATAATTAATTAAGTGCAGCCTGTCACATTAGTCCTCTCTTTTCAGAAGTGATATAGAGTCTCAGACATGTAGTTCTCATCAGTCAAGAGCTGCTGTCTCAGATAATGTAAAGCTTGAAGTTCAGATTAGATAATTATAGCTAACTCATTTCATAAGATATTATTTACTGTGACTGCAGAGTCTCTTATCAAGAATATCTTTAATCTCTTATTCAAGCTTATTATCTTCTTCTGTAAGAGGCCTACGCTGAATAGATCAGTATAATATATAGGTCTTATAATACAAAGTGAAAAACATTAAAGAAGGAAAAGAAAGAGAAAGTATGAGAATCAGTAATTGAAGTGAATATTTATACATGTACACAGTGATGTACGCGGTGAAGCTTCAGAGTGAAAGAATAGAAATTTCATGAGTTTTTCAGCTGAGAATCAGTGATCAAGAATGACTGAGAATCAGAGCTTTCAGTGAAATCTATGAAGTGTAATGAAATAGTCTATATAATGATTAAGTACAGCCTGTTACATTAGTTCTCTTCTTCTCTGATCATGTGTAGTTTCTATTAGTCAAGAGCTGTGATCTCAGATAATACAGAACTCAGAGTTCAGATTAGACTGGCCGCCAGGATCATGAATTTCACATTTGGTCCCATTTGGTCTGGTCTCATACATTTCTTGGTGTGAATCCCGCTGGGACTGGCTATTAAAAAAACATGTAAAGTGACTATATATCAGATCTTAAAATGAAACCATGACTTGAAAAAAATGAGAAAGTGATTTCATTTGATCTCATTTAGTTTCATTCTTAGCATAAAGTTACTATTTTTAGACATTTTAAGGTTTTTTTTAGACTATTTTTAATTTTTTAAAAAGTAACACTTTTTGATAACACTCAAATGAGATTTAAAGTCATTTAAAGCAATAAAAATAATTTAAATTGAGAAGTGGAAATCATGGTCTCATTTGGAAAATGTGATAAGAGTAGACAGTAAGTTTCACTGAGACAGTATGAAACTACTATCTAATGTTAAAACTGTGTAATGGGATCAGTCGAATTGGTAATGAAACTATCAAAAAATCTGGTTCTGGTCTCAGACACGGTCACACGGTCAGTCTAGTTCAGATCAGATAATTATAGCTGACTTATTTTATAAGATATTATCAGCCGCGGCTGCAGAGTCTGTTATCAAGAATATCTTTAATCTCTTATTCAAGCTTATTATCTTCTTCTGTAAGAGGCCTACACTGAATAGATCAGTATAATATATAGGTCTTATAATACAAAGTGAAAAACATTAAAGAAGGAAAAGAAAGAGAAAGTATGAGAATCAGTAATTGAAGTGAATATTTATACATGTACACAGTGATG